GCATTCTAGTACGACCAATTCCATTTAAACAAGAATCTGTAATATTTAATTCTATATTAAATTTATTCAATGTATTATGAGCACTAGTAACTTATTTTCTTATCACTAATAACATGCAAATGAGTCATCAAATCGAAACACACTGTGCACTTGAGCAGATACATTGGCGGACATAAACCACTCCCATAACAATTTAGACAGATACAAGAAATCTCTAGAAATATTGGAATAGATGGTTGAATTACACCAACTGCACATGCAAGAATGGGCTCGTATTAGAGCGTCCGTCAGGGGTAGTAACCTCCACCTTACATAAGACCACAATAACATAACACCATCTTTTAGTGGAGGTGAGTTCTGTCGGTGAGTATGGTTCCAGGGCTCAACGATAGGGTATTGGATCAGGATAGATAACGGCGCGAGTGATATTTTTTGTATCGCATGCATCTATAGGATATGGTCGCGGCTTACCATTAGGCGGCGGGCCATAAGCTTGTGTTAAAAAAAGTTGAAATATAAGTCACTCGAGAGATATTTTAATATTTATTTATCTTCATACTAACTTTATTATATTTGTTACCTATACCTTTAAGTTATATTGTACTTTACAGATAATAACATTTAACTGAGCTAAATATGTGTATATTCCGAGTGAATTCTGAAGACAAGATCATTGTTTTCATTTATTTTTAAACATTTTAACTGCAAGATGTTTAAATCTAAAGAAAAGTTTTACTAGAAAAAAATCCACGCGTACCAGGCAGCCGACGGGACTCGAACCCGCACCCTTCGCAATCCGGGCGAATGCACTGACCATTATGCTACCACGACCCTATTGGCCGCGTCGAAATTTGCCTAGCCTTAAGCTGCTTTTTTTTCTAGTAAAACTTTTCTTTAGATTTAAACAAGACCATTAGTTAATATAATGCTCGACTATCCAATGCAGAAGGCTTAGTTAAAAACTACAACACATAATCTGTATATTTTTTTTATCAGTATTGTATCACAAACCTACCTTACCTAACTTTGATTCAATATGGTTTAATTTTAAAGAAGAGTATTTTAAGTAAACCATTACGAAATTATTTATGAAAATACCTAACACAGCTGAAGACAAATCTCAACAGTGAGTTTAAATTTTAATTCAGTTATTAGAACCCTTTATTTTAAATTATATAGAATAATTCTTATTTGCATTTAATATCACTTCATAGTATAAAGCAAAGTCGCTTCCTGCTGTGTCTGTCCCTATGTATGCTTAGATCTTTAAAAGTACGCAACGGATTTTGATGCAGTTTTTTTTAGATAGAGTGATTCAACAGGAAGGTTTATATGTATAATACATGCATAATATAGTAGAGAAACACTGATAATTTTAGAGGTTTTTAATGTAAGGTCGTAAATAAACACATTTTATGCACTTACATTGCAAACGCTGGCTGAACCCTACGAGATAGATCAAAATTATGTACCACAGTATCGTACACCTTAAAAAGGTCTACAAAAAAGTCCACGATGGTATATGTCTATCTCTTAGGGATAACCCACAATAACTATATTTTATCCTATACTTTTTAAGACAAATAATGGTTTATTTACTAAGCGATTTTAAGCAATACACCATCAATCCTTATCCAATGAAGTACCTTAAATACATTATGCATTAAATATAGATGAATATGGCCCTTTGCAGCGTGTAATTTGAATTAGTAATTTTGAAGATTTTTCAGATTTAAGATGCAGGGACATAGCGGTTACACGGGGCCGCCGGCGCGTGCCTATAGTAATTATATAAATAAAGTCATTGTTTATAATACAAGCCTGAGAACAAAAACTATAGTCTATACTACAGCTCTACACCGAAGTGAAGCGAGGGCGGGCCACTAGTACTAATAAAACATGTGAACATTCCCTTGCAAACATTATTAATTAACGAGGAATAAGCTTAGACTAGAAACGCCGTGTTTTGATCACAGCACTCAAGTGACATTTGTAATTCAATGAACAGACATAACATAGAAGAGGTAACTAATCCAAGCCTTTACTGTGTTTATTAAATAAGGGAGTAAATGTTGTTAACGTAAATGCTTTATTGTCTTATCTTTCTACTACTGAGACTTTTACACTCATGTGGTATATTATACTCAACACTTCGTCTAATCCAACATTACCTTTTTTTTTCATATTAAATTTTAATGTCAACGTGTACTATATATTCAATTTCAAGTTCTTTTTTTTACTTTTATTGCGCCTACAATAAAAAAATATCGTAATAGGCAAACGTGCAAACACGAACTAAACGTAAGTCAAAGCTTCGGTCAAAGTCCTGGTCACAAGGGCAATAAATAAATTTAAAAAATCGTGTATACATACTTACCTAAAAAACTCAACAAACTACTTAACGACCTCTCCGAAAGGGATATCGTTTCGGATTGAAATTACTATTATTTATTAAACATATTTAATGGCTCAATTACGCTTGGTCGTTAGCCCCAAAATTATTGCCAATGGAATTCGGGTAAACGACTAAGTGTAAATGAACGGAGTCGAGTACGCCCATATTCGGGTAGTTTTCGTTTTGGTTACCCGACACAGACACCTTCCATCCCTATATTCTAGTGTAAATATATTCTTTCGGGTGCCAGAATTGGAGTAAATTGTTTCTCGTGCGGCCGGACAAGTGTAATCGAGCCAAAAAAAAATGGTGTGCTTAAATCGTAGGTTGTCAGCAGGAATATTTGGAGCTCCGTAACCGAAACTCAATGTGACTATTTTATTCCTAAAATAATTATCTCGTTGGTATCTCAACGTATCCGATCTGTAATTTCATATTCAAACATTTTACTGTTGCCTAGCGAAGTATGCGGGGAGACATTGTGTCAATTCTGACATGATTCTCTAAACTTAAATTTGACATCAGTGCATCCTTGTCATTCTCTATACAGAATAAAAAGGAGACACTGATGTTTTTAGTTTTAAACTTATCTCTTGCTGTACGGTCCTGAACTCCTGACCCACCGCTTTCGCTTCTGCAGCTGCAGGTCGCACCGCACACCTTTTCAGAAAATAGCTAATTTTGATGTGACTAATTTTACGCGATCGAACTCTGAAACATTTCTTTCGTCAGTCGTCTTTCATCCATTCGCTTCCAGTACCCAGACCAAAGACGAGGCATACTCTTACAACTTCTAAATTTTAAAAAAAATTAAGCACAGTATACTTAACTATCTATTTGCGCGGAAAAGTTACTAGGTAGCGTATTCCATGATTTTCTTTCACTGCCGGTCAATGTTGGTTAAATTCAATGATTTATATTAAACATTATAAATAATACTTTAATTATTAAGAAAATGGTGTGTATGGCTTTAGCGCTGGGCACCTTTGATTTCTCCCTTACCGTAACTCGTGAAATCTCGTCTCATCGTAAGTTATTTTTAGTCCACCTCGCCATCTTATTAGAATGGAAAATTTCATATGAAATACGATAGCGACTATATGATGTGATTGTTTACGAAAAGAATTTGAATACAGACTTATCAGACGACACGAAATATAAGGTACTAGTATATTGCTGTACATTTGTGATTTTCATTCTTTGTCTGTGGGGTGGCTGGATTCCGATATCACAAGAGACAGGACATATTGATTCACGTGACATTCCTCACAGACGAGAGGTTCGAACCCATTATTCACACATAATGTATTGTGTAACAGTCATATTTCTAAATAAAATCTTTGACATTATATTATTATGTGTACCTGTAGCCGTTATCTATATCTGTATTCATAATGCTTTTATCCCAAGACTGTGATGAAGATCACAATCAAGGACGTCGCTGCAATCGGTCAATTTTGATATAATTTTAAAATCTTTTTCCATTGTGTGTGATCCTCTATCTTTTGCATACTCGCTCGCTTCGAGGTTAAACTTAGTCATGAGGAAATACATAATTATCCTTTTTTATTTACTGATGCAAAACGTTTCCCTAGCAACCTTAAAATAGCGTAGTTCCAAACAGTACATAATTCTAAAAAATATTTAAGTTGTATTAAACACAAACGATACACCAAAACAGATACTACGAACAGCGTATAATGTGCGATAGATGTTGGGCTCGCAATACTGTTAGCCAGCAGCAGTTTTGTTCCGCGCCACTAATTTTGAATAACCCATTCTCAGTAACAGGCGTTTCTGCTACCGCTTTGCTGCCCAAATATTTACTCTTAATTATAGGCAAAAGCAATATTTTTGAATTTACTAATCCTTATTATGGTTAAATGGCGGAAATCACTTTCTGGCTGTGACTAAATACCAAATCCGAAAAGACATATTTACACGCTTAAACCAAAGAAAAAAAAAATCGCAGCTGCAAACGCATAATAAAATATATCAATAGATGTGCTACTTTCTATAACATCACAAATCCAACCAATTCAGCGTCGTTGAAATAGATAATAAAATGGAACAGCAATGATGTTGAGTGTTCATAAATAAGGACTCCTTTTGACTTGTTGATTCGTTTTTGACAGAACAGTCATGTTTTTAATTATATTACTGGTCTTGTCCACTCTATAGTTGCGATTGTTTGAAATCGAAACGAAAGTTTATTTAGTGATTTTTGATAAATGGGTAATCTTGCAGCGACGGACCGTATATGTAAGAGAATACTGATTTATGAAACAAAATGAACGGTAGCAAAAGTGATGCACGCAACAAAATCAGGGACCATCAGGTGGTTCAGGGTAACAAAAACAACACACTTTCGCAACCGGTAATCCTGACCTTGTCCTCTCAATTTTCGGTCCCCTACTTTAGCGGGCGCTACCCCTCGAGACCACGACACGAGCTGCGCTACTCGAAAACCTTGCGATTACGTCATCGCATCTACTCTTTGAGCCATGTATTTCCTCGTATGCATAGTCTGTAGCTAATTCGAATTAGTTGTGTATGGATCTGATTTTGTGATATTTTAACATTGACATCTATCTTTTTTCTTCAGACTGCGTCTATTTTGAGACGTCGCCGAAGTCTCCGTACCAAATCCGGCGGATAGAGGAGCTGAACAAAACGGCGTCGGGTAATGTGGAGGCGAAAGTCATGTGTTTCTACAGGCGGCGGGACCTGCCCAACCCCCTCATACAGTTAGCAGATAAGCATCAAAGTAAGTAGTAGATCAAATTATTAACTGCGATTCTTAAACAGCAGTCGATAGCCACTTAACTAAACATACGCGTTATGATCGTCATATTTTCCTTAATCAAACTAATGCGAACGCAACTAATTAACATACATATTGTTCGTCAATAGTTGACAATTGATAAGTTTTAATTAATCGTTATGACCGAACAATTCGTGTATCTACGAGACTTTACATACCTACATTTAATAATAAAAAGACACATTATTGATTTTGCTAAATCGCAAAGACGGGTAACGAACAATAATAATAGTATTGCAATCGGCGATCCCCTGATCACAAGTCCATGTGGTGGTACTACGCGCATTTGATTCTTTCCTATAAATAGCTCTAAAACTCGATTATCCGTGAGTGCTGTAACTACAAGGTCTCCCGCCGTTGACTTGCGAACCGATGGCGTAGCTTTCGACTTTCACATGTGCTTGTGCCTAAACTGAATAAATTAATATTGTTTTTTTTTTTACTGGGATTACTCAGCGGGTGTCTGGATCCGCGGTCAGGGACTTTTAGTTATATGTTGAGTGTGTCTGCTTTAAAACAATTTGCATCGCTACATTAGTAATAAAACATCTTTTAAACCATCTGCTTGCTATGAAATGAAAGGTAGATATTTTTTTCTGTATAGTTCTATTAACACATCCAGCGTCGAATACCAAAGGCGCAAGTGTTTTATACCCGTACTCAAATAATATTTTAATGATAAGACAAATGTTTGCCCTTACTTTGGGGATCTTTCTTGCCTGGATATCATTGCATACTTATGTCAGGTACTTTGCGTTTGATTGCGTAGTGATTCTTACTATCTATTAATATGTGTAATCAACTACTTACTACATTAGCTGTAGTATGAACAGTTACAGACGTAACTCAATTTATTAAATAAGAAACCGTGATATTATCGCTATAAAAATAATAGTTTTGATAATATCAAGATTATCATTGTTATTGTATAATTGCAAATATAATTATTTGCTCTAGCGTTTCGCAAAGTTTGCCGTTTAACAAGCTTCGCCGGTACAAGCATTTTCTTACAGTAACTAAATTACGAACTATATAATTACCATTGTTATCCAACATATTTCTACTTTATGATATTTTTCAAAATAGATTTCTGTTAAGTAGTGAAAATCAGATTAAAAATATTGTCTTAACCCTTATATGCCCCTTGATGCAAAAAATAACGGCATAAAGATGCCCAGTACTACTTTGGACTTTAAATTTTTGTAAATTGTGCATATGTAAACATTGCCATAAAAATGCTAATACGTGTTTATTGACATATTAACTACTTTAATGAAGGTCATTATAAGATAAATACTTTTTTGTTATTTGTTCGAAAACGTAACATCGGGCACTTCCCCTACATTTACTGTGAGTTAATAAACAACGCCATTTGTTTTATTTTTAATATCAGAAATCATATTAAAAACAATTTTTATTGAATTACTTAAAATTAAAGAATTTAATGCAATATAAAAATTGTGAGTGTACATGGACTTGACACTTTTGAGACGAGGTGACCGTCAGGTTTAGACGCAGAAGCAACACAACAGAATCGGTTTGTTATCTAATGATCATATGCTCAGTATTATAATTTCAAATTAAAGGAAAAAATAGTTTATAAACCCCGTTTGAAAGAACCGCCACTTATCAATGCTGTACTTTTGAAGTAAAGTTTGGACAATACTACGTCGAAATTCCAACAACATCATTGTGAACTTTTAGTGCGAAGAGTAATGCATTGTTTACAGCATAGATAAATTTATTGGGTCAGAAGCTTCTGATGCAGTCACCACTGTTCTTGAAGGTGGAGTGATCTACTCATTATTCATTATAGCTAACTCTCGTTTTACCCACTTACGGTTTATGGCTATCGTGGTTGACTCAATTAGGGCATTTTCGGTTTGATATTCGGTCTCGTTTAATTTGGTGGTTCTTGACAGCGGAAAATCATCAACCCCTTCAAACTCTATCATCATTATTAACACCTTGAACCAGTTGGCTAGGTTCCAGTAGTTCTGATCTTACTGATAACTTTTCAAATCTTAAACTTTTATCAACGCCAGAATCTAAATCTAAAATGAATCCATCACCGTGGTAGTCTATATATATATATATTATGTTCCAGTTATTTATTGAATTTTTAGGTACTCTTATATAATAATTGACTCTTTATAATTAATCAAAAATGTGCTGCACACACCTAACTTTAGTTTACAACATACAAAAATCGTAAATTTCAGCTGATTTTGATATTTTTTTTCCTTTTTTGGAAGAGACGCGTTGATTTTTGACCATTGAAATGAAGCCACAACTTCCACTGACTCATAACCAAACAAATAGTGTAACGTAGACAATGCAATCAATCACAATTTACAAAAGGTACCTTTTTTTAATATAAACGGTGACAGGATGCACTGTCCGATCAAAATATAGAAGTTAATTACCACCTACGAAAGTGCCTTTTTTGTTTCGTTTTTGAATCAGAGGGCACATAAAGAACCAAAAAAAAAATGTTGTTGGCATATATGGGTTAAGACCAGCTTCGCTGTGCCCATTTCTATTTTCTACGTACTAAGAAAATTATTTAAAAAGTGACAGAAATAGAGAAGCTGTATTTGTAGGAAAAGATGTGGATATAAAGCGCTTTTATTGTTTTTAAGGATTATTTTTTATTAATTTATGAGAACTAAATATAGTGGCGCTAGAAAGTAAAACGCCAGAAAATAACGAAAGTCGTTGTTGCAAGCTCTGTTACGTAAACATTTGGTGCCCCAGTGCTCCCCCGGTCGTGGTAATGACCCTGAAGCTGCGTGGTTTGTAACCGTCATCGACAATGAACAAATACCAGGTTGAAATGCGACAAATATTACTTATTACCTGCTGCTTTTGCGCTGCGCTGTAATGATAATTTTTATTTTAGAGTTGAAACGTCAATGTAAAAGTTAATCCTCTTATTGATTCCTTAACTAACAGCTTCAACTTCACCGAACAAGATATCATGCACTCTTTATTAGGGGTCTACACACATTATTATGGTGACATCGGAACCCTTGTCACCTTTTGGCATTATGAAACACAGCATGCACTGTTCGTCCGTTTTTCTGTTAGTGGACTGAATTTTTATGATCTCTAATAACAGATTAACCGTTTAGTTGAAATTGTCAAAGAATGTGTATTTCTATTCAATAAAATTAAAGGACCACCATAACGCATAATGTTGTTTTACAATATTTACGCTCGACCTGGTGTTAAAATCCTGTACAAATGGCTCAGAACACGCATTGTTTTATCAAAATTGGCATAATAATATGCAATACGTGTTTTATTAATAAAAGGTTAAATTAACCAGTGATTTTTGAAGCAACCGCTCCAAATTAGAACAACGCAACCGCAACCGCAAATCAACAAGCAACCGCTCCAAATTCTAGCACAACTCCTTTATTCACGTACCGTAAAAACATTAGTTATTTAATCACTGAATGTTGTTTTTTATATTCACTTCATGCTCGTAAACGGGAGTATGAATGCATTGTAACAATGACACACCTTTGCTTCGTACCGGCATAAACATGAGGGAAAGTTTCTGAACAGAAAAAATGTGCATGCTACTTACAAAGGCACGGCCGGTGGTCAGGGCGGTACGATGCGCTGCGGCAACGCGACGTGGGTTTTACGCGATTTGCCAGCACCCGCCCGCAAACACAGTGAACGAAGTCACACCCGTGATACCACAGCTTTGCTCATTTTAGAATTGTACCAGACGTCAGAGCAAATGGGCACTATTGCTGCTTTTTGGTTACCTAGGTCCTTACATTTTTTTTGTGGGAATATATTTGGACTGTGCAGCAATTCAAAATTGTTAAAACATATATTTCTATAACTGTAATGCCCTTTTTAAAGTACTACTGACCTAATTATATTTCAGGGAAAAATATACAAATCCCGAATATTGGATTTTTAAATGTAAATTCGTTATAGTGAAACGGTCCTGACATACTTGTATGCTCTGCACTGTGACGAGTGTGCCATAAAAGCTCTTCTATTTGTTGATTGCGGTTGAACTTAATCTGCAAATAAAAAGGTGGTAATGATATCGATAATACACTTAAACTTCGAATGATATTGTGGCATTTTGAACCGAGTTCAGTATACCTTATTTATTGTAGATTAGCTTCCACTATGGCTGTTTTGCGTAACTTTTAAATCTAGTTTTTGGATTTTCGGAAATAAATAAATATGGATGATATCGAGAACGTCATTCTCAGGTTATGGCGTGAACAAGGGAAATATGGATTCTATGTAAAGATTTGTTCGTTGTACAATACACATCTCGACGAATATCTTATTTTTAACTTGGCACCATTACAGCGTAGGTGCTATGGAGCTTCCTATAATATAAAGCTCGATTTAGGACAAAGCTCGTGTGTTAATTCGGACCGCGTAGACCAAGGGGCGCGGCGGCCGGGGTTAGTAAACATAATCATGGCCTCCTCCCGCCATACAATTCAGTAGCTAAATGGGAATGAAGAGTTACCTCGCCCGCACACCCCCTGTACCACCCCCTTCACTGTCTGCCACCGCGACGCCCACACGTCTTGTGACGTACTCGTTGGAAAGGTCATGCGTTTATTTTTTACCTAATATCTATAATCCTCTCAAGAAACCTTCACTTCCGACAAAAAAAAATCGACAATACAAAAACACAACGGCAACGCTGAAACACCAAACAAAATGCATGCCATAAAAAGGTGACCGTGGTGACCCCACAGGGAGACGACCCCGCGTCAGAATAAACAATGGTTCGTCACAATTCCAGAAGACATCCGCCATATTCAATTTCTAGCGCGGTAAAAAAACATCCAAATAAAAATATCAATATACTGTGAGTTGTATTCTAAACTCCTTAACTGGATGCTTGCCCCTCCCCACGAATAAACCCCCCCCCCCCCCCCCCCGCCGCC